TTCCTGTGGATTTTAAAAGCAGATAGAAGTTATTTTTCATCTGTACAAATGAGGGTTGAGTTTTAAGAGCAAAAACGAACATCGTGTCCTACTGACAAAAGCTTTATCTCTGCCCTGATATAAAAGGTAAAGGAATATCCAAATATTCTGGTTTCCATGGGCGCTTCACCACCATTCCACAATTCCTGTGGAATTAAAGGATGATCTTCAGATATATTTTACAATTTCTTGCAAAATTGCAATTGCTGATACTTCTGCAAGAAGTCAAAGCACCAAACCAGTGAGAAGACCCCCCCTAATTTGTTCCTGATATTCTAAACACCCTTCCCCATCCCCATCTGGGGATTTTGCAAATGGCAAACCTCAATCACTGTCACAAAACATTAAAAAAAAAAAAAAAAAAGAAGAAGAAAATTATTTCAAAGTAAAATAATAGACAATTCACAACAACCTTAATATTAAATATATTCTTACAATTATATTACGCTGCTTTTCCCCGAGGTCTCCAAACAAATTTATATAAAGAGATTATTTCATCCACCATTGAACTGCAGCCACTTCTCAGAGAAATCTCTTTACCAGAGTTTAGAAACACAATTCAACAAAGTGGGCATGGAAAGCTCCACACTGCTGGAAGGATTGTGGTGGCAACAACTCCTCCCAGCAATAATTTCTACACCAGAGCAGAACCAGAACACCCTGACAACAAATCCCTTGGACAGCAGGAGCAGGGACAAGGAAAAAAACCCCAAATTTAGCAAATTGCTGTTTAAAATCTTGGAATGATTCAGGTTGGAAAAGGTCTGCAGGATGACAGAGTCCAAGCATCACCCCAAATGTCTGCAGGCCTCGCTGCCAGCACCACAAAAAGTGGGTGAGGAGAACAAGGAATGGTCAAACAGACACCAAACAAAGAACTGGGTTTGTTCCACCCAGATCTCGGTTGGTGTCACCCAAATGACAACAGAGAGGAACAGCAGGAGAACTTTTTGGACACCAGGAGAGGGAAAATGAGCATGACTGAGCAGGAAGACAATGATGGAATGCTCTGAAGCATCCAATAAAAAGTCCAAACCTCCAAAACTCCACAAACATCATGGTGGGATGTCCAGGAACCACTCAGGGTGATCCCTCCTCCTCCCTGTGCCTCAGCCTGGGCATCCCCAGGGAGCTGTGGGATGGTTCAGAGGAGAATCCCGACAGTCAGAAATCCAAACAAACCTGGAAACAGAGCAAGGACATCACAACCACCACCCCTCCTGCATCCCTGCTCCGTGTTCACTCCACTCACAACTGCCCTCAGATCCTGCAGCATGGAAAACCTTTCCAGGAACAAAGCAGAGGAGCAAATCTGAGGAGCTGAGAGCCTCCAGCAGCAGATGAATTTCCAGGATTCCTTGCTTTAGACAATTCCTAGACAATTCTAGGATTGTCCCCGCTCCTGAGGACACCCCTGCAGGTCCCTTCTGGCTTGGAAATGAACAGGTAAAATGGTGATTGCTGAAATGTCTCACTCTTTGAGCAGTCTTAAAAAATCCAGATCTTCCTCTGAGGAGCTGCAAAATCAGCTGTGAATCCCAGGGACAGCTGAAGGGGAGTAACCCAGAGCAATAAAAATTTGGGTTCAGCAGGGGAGTTTTCTGCCCAAGCTGAGGCACCTCCATCCTCTCCTGTGTCACTGGGATGTCCACAGAGGGTTGTGCTGCACCCTCAGGAATCAATCAATTTCAGGAAAATCCTTCATGGTTTTTGTGGCAGGAACAGGATTTGGGAGAGGAATTTCAGGGAAATCCTTCATGGTTTTTGTGGCAGGAACAGGATTTGGGAGAGGAGTTTCAGGAAAATCCTTCATGGTTTTTGTGGCAGGAATGGGGTTTGGGAGAGGAATTTCAGGGAAATCCTTCATGGGCATCACAGCAGGAATGGGGTTTGGGAGAGGAATTTCAGGAAAATCCTTCATGGTTATTGTGGCAGGAATGGGGTTTGGGAAAGGAATTTCAGGGAAATCCTTCATGGTTATCATGGCAGGAACGGGGTTTGGGAGAGGAATTTCAGGGAAATCCTTCATGGTTATTGTGGCAGGAACGGGATTTGGGAGAGGAATTTCAGGAAAATCCTTCATGGACATCACGGCAGGAACGGGATTTGGGAGAGGAGTTTCAGGAAAATCCTTCATGGTTTTTGTGGCAGGAATGGGGTTTGGGAGAGGAATTTCAGGCAACTCCTTCATGGTTATTGTGGCAGGATGGGATTTGGGAGAGGAATTTCAGGAAAATCCTTCATGGTTTTTGTGGCAGGAACGGGATTTGGGAGAGGAATTTCAGGGAAATTCTTCATGGACATCATGGCAGGATGGGATCTGGGAGAGGAATTTCAGGCAACTCCTTCATGGGCATCACGGCAGGAACGGGGTTTGGGAGAGGAATTTCAGGGAAATCCTTCATGGTTATTGTGGCAGGAACGGGATTTGGGAGAGGAGTTATCAGGGAAATCCTTCATGGGCATCACGGCAGGAACGGGATTTGGGAGAGGAGTTTCAGGAAAATCCTTCATGGTTTTTGTGGCAGGAATGGGGTTTGGGAGAGGAATTTCAGGAAAATCCTTCATGGGCATTGTGACGGGAATGGGGTTTGGGAGAGGAGTTTCAGGCAACTCCTTCATGGTTATCATGGCAGGAACGGGGTTTGGGAGAGGAATTTCAGGAAAATCCTTCATGGTTTTTGTGGCAGGAACAGGGTTTGGGAGAGGAGTTTCAGGGAAATCCTTCATGGACATCACGGCAGGAATGGGATTTGGGAGAGGAATTTCAGGAAATCCTTCATGGTTATTGTGGCAGGAACATGGTTTGGGAGAGGAATTTCAGGAAAATTCTTCATGGTTATCACGGCAGGAACAGGGTTTGGGAGAGGAATTTCAGGGAAATCCTTCATGGTTATTGTGGCAGGACCGGATTTGGGAGAGGAATTTCAGGAAAATTCTTCATGGTTATCACGGCAGGAATGGGATTTGGGAGAGGAGTTTCAGGAAAATCCTTCATGGGCATCAGGGCAGGAATGGGGTTTGGGAGAGGAATTTCAGGGAAATCCTTCATGGTTATTGTGGCAGGAATGGGATTTGGGAGAGGAATTTCAGGGAAATCCTTCATGGTTATTGTGGCAGGAATGGGATTTGGGAGAGGAATTTCAGGGAAATCCTTTGTGGACATCACGGCAGGAACGGGGTTTGGGAGAGGAGTTTCAGGCAACTCCTTCATGGACATCACGGCAGGAATGGGGTTTGGGAGAGGAATTTCAGGGAAATCCTTCATGGTTATCATGGCAGGAATGGGGTTTGGGAGAGGAATTTCAGGGAAATCCTTCATGGGCATCATGGCAGGAACGGGATTTGGGAGAGGAGTTTCCTCCCAAGCCCTCCAGGGACATCTCCCATTCCACCAACTCATGCAGGAGGATCCTTCTAGATCTGCAAAAACCTCTCTGCAGGAATTTCAGTATTTCATGGAAAGCTGGAATGCTTTGGGTGGGAAGGGACCTCAGAGCCCACCTCATTCCAAGCAAGACAGAAGAAATCCTGGAACAAATCTGAGCCCTCGTCCCTCAGACTGCCTGGAATTCTTAGGATTAGAGATTAAAAAATACACATCAGCCTTTCAAGATCCCAAGCCAATAAGCCACTGTTAAAACATACTAAGATTATATTAAAACTTCCTATAAAATCATTATATTAAAACTTATTATGAAATTTTACTGGTTACCTTCATTTCTGCACTTGACCATATTGTTTAAACATTGAATTTACATTTTAAAAATATCAGGAAGATTAAGATAAATACATAAAATTTCTCTCCTTTTATTTCAGATTCCTAACAGATCCTTAAAAAAATTTTCTAAAATCTCTCCATTTTCCAGACACAAAAGCACCTCTGGAAAAACAAAACTAAATTCAAATTTCACAGCAAGTTTCTAACAGGCAAATCAAATTCAAGTTCAAACTATTTTCTGGCTATGGAGAAAAAAAAATAAAGTAAAAAATATCTGAAGTAAATTATCAGGAATGATCTATGTGAAACCTATGCTAAGAAATTAGGAAGAGTTTAAAACAATAGCAGATGACTTCAAATATTGCCAGTGATTTCTGGAATATATTATAAAAGCAAAAGGATTTGCAGAAATCTATCATATTTAAGATATTACCCAACGATTTCATTCACTATTTTGGCATTAGCATTTGAACAGTGTTTAATGTCTTTTAAATGGTTCAATGTAATGATAGATCTGGAAGACAAAACATTTCTTTCTTACCAGGAAACATGCTGTAAACAACCCTCAATTTATCCTCCCCAAAGAAATGAATGCTTAAAGGATGCTTCTGCCAATGGAAAAAACAACACTAAAATGGTTATTTCGCATCCCAACTTTAACTAAATATTTTTTCCCTTGACAAGCTGCTTCCATTTAAATGAACCCAGGCCGAATTTGGTCAATAGTATGGATTGCAGAGAACAAAAAGAACCTCAGACCGTGCTAATGCAGGGATCAGAAAGCAGCAACTTCATTTCAAGCCAGGCAATTATTTAGCAAACTACGATAGAGCAAATAAATCCACGTTTTCCACGGCAAAGCTGGCACGGGATGAAACCTCAGTGGCAGAAATCGCGGCGAGGGCAGAAGTGGCTGAGGAGAGGAGAAAAATCAAAGGGAGAAAAATGAGATCTTGCGAAAGCCCTCAGCTTGGGGAGCAGAAATAAAGGAAAACTGCAAGAAGGATGATGATGATGATAATTTAAAAAAGGACAAGGTGTCCTGCTGGAGGAAGGAGCCGTGTCCCAGGGCTGGGGGATGCTCATTGTCCCCAGCCCCTGGAGCAGCAGGACCCAGCTGAGCGTTCTGCATTGTCCCTCCCAGGCTGCTCAAACCCAGGAGATGGAAAAAACAAACCTTTCCCTACCAGGAGGAGCAAAAAGCTCTTTGCTTCCACTGGTTTGTGGGTTTTTTTTATTATTATTTTCTTCCTGTTATGTTTTCTCAGGCAGCAAAGCCACGGCAGGTCCGCAGCGAGCGCTTTCCTGGCTGTAAAATTCCCTATTATCCACTTCTGCTTCCTTTGCTGTGGGATTTAAGGATGCCTCCTCCTTGAGAGCAGGGATATGTCATCGTTTTGTTGGACTACCAGCTCTGACAGCCTTGTCTCTCCCACTTTGTGCTCGCAGTGCTGGGAAAAGGAAGGGGGAAAAGCTGAGAGGGGAAAAAAAAAAAAAATCAAGGGGAAAATCCAGCTATGACTAAATTATCTCCTAATTTATTCCTGTTATTTCTCCTGCTGCAAAAATAAATTCTGTTTATATAAAAAAAAAGAGCTTTAAATTAAGGTCTCTTGCTCCCACTGCATTTTGAAATAAGTTATTTGAATCCTTGGCTGATCTATTTTAACAAATATCATCTCCTGCGTCCATCACTCCTCCTGTCTTTTTGATCTCTTTTTTCCTACTTATCATGTTCTTTATTTGAAACAGATTTTTAACAGATAATCTCCGCCGTTATAACAATATCTTGCTCGCATTTTATTCAAATAATTCTTAAAAACAGCTTAAAAAGCCGTTTGGAATAACATCAAGCTCTCCATCAATCAAACAGCAAAAATTCCGCTGGCGGTTGTATAAACATCAGATCAACTCCGACGTCTTCAAGGATTTCAGAGCAAACCATAAAAAACTCCATTAACTTCTGACAAAGAATGCAAATTAATCACAACATGGGGTGAAATGAAATTAAAGGCTCTTTTCTAATCAATGACAAGGCAGGATGAAATATTTGGTGCCGGGATGCTCCCGATTTTTTTCTTTTTTTTTAATTTTTAAATTTTTTTTTTCCCCCTTGCGTGGAAAAAGGGGATTCACCCGGGGTGGCTCTTTAGCCCTCCCCATCCCTACAGCGATCTGCTTACAAGTCGCCCCAGCTCCACAAAACACACTAATCATCCGAATCTCAGGTGCATCCAATTTGTTATTCACACTCTCTCGGTGCCAGAAAAAAAAAATAAAGAAAAAAAAAAAGGAAAAAAAGGGGAAAAAAGAAAAAAAAAAAAAAAAAGCCTGGCGTAGACAGATGCACCGGGAACCTTAAATGACAGTTTTGGCCTCCGGAAGTGCAATCGCTACAGCAAAATCTAGTACAGCCTCCAGGTGAAATGTCTGGAGCTCCATATGGAGCAGGGAAAATTAACAACAAGATGAAAATCGCTGTAGCAGCGGGGAGTCGGAATTTAACAAAAAAAAAAAGGAAAAAAAAAAAAGGAAAGGAGGAAAAAAAAATAAAAAAAAGAGGGGAAAAAAAATTTAAAGATGAGGCAAGAGAAGTAATAAATTAATGGGGTGTGAAAACATTCAAAGCTTTACAATACCAGGGGCAGTATTTGCTCAGATTTGGGGGGGGGCAGCAGGATGGGAAGGGGGAGCACGGGATGGGAGGGGGTGGAATGAGGGAATGGAATAATTTTGGTGCTTTTTCCTTTAAAAAAAAACCAAACAAAAAAAAAAAAAGAAAAAACAGGTCGCTTTCATTGAATTTATTAAGAGAAGGCTGGGATTGTATTTTTCTAAATGTAAAAGTCTCTTAAAGGCAGCGAGTGCTGCCTGCTCCTTTGGAATATTTCCCTGCTGGATGCACCATCCCTTTAACACTCTGCTTTCTAGAAACTTTCACTACAAGCCGAGAATATTTACTGGACAATCCTTTTCATTTCTCCTAAATTGCATTATCATTAAATAAATCATTGCCCCCATCGTGGTTTTTATTCCAAGACGTGGAATTGCAACCCCCGGGATTCTCTGCGAGGTTTGTTCGGATCTTTGGGGTTCCAGCCTCAAATTTAATTAAATATTCAAGGTGCCGTGGCCTTCTAGGGTATCTGGTTTTCTTTCCAGTTGTTTGCGTAAAATCAAAATCTTGTAAATTAAGGTGAAACTTTTAAAGGAAAATGTTAAACTTATTTTCCTTGTGTGCCATCCCAAAAAAGCTGGATGGGTTATGGACCAGCACCCCTGGAAAAAGGGGTTTCCTTTCTATTTTTTCAATGTTTATGCAGAAAATAACTTCATTCAAGAGTACTTGTGAGCACATGCACCATTCTTATTAATTTATAGAGTGGTGCAAATAAATCCGGGGTGAATTTGCCCTTAAAACCTTCCTTTTGTACCCAAGGAAAATCCTACAAGCATCGCTCCCTCCCGTTTCCCAAGGGACTTGGACATTTTACAAATGCACTTTCCACGACCACAACAGGAAAACCAACACCCAAACAATGAAATGCACCAAAAATTCAGATATTTACTCCATTTTAAGGCTTAAGAGTTCCCCGTGCAAAGTTTTTACAGCAGAAAAGTCAGTTCTGAGCATCACTATTTGTTATTTCCCTGCTCAGATTGTTCCCTTTCACTGTTATGAAGATTATATTTTGTATATTGAGACAATATTGAGATTATGAAGATTATATTCTGTATATCAAGACAAAAAATATAATTAGAGTGAATAGTGATACATTAACTCTAAACACACCTGTAAGGAACTTTACTGACACAGCAGTTGCTCAAAGTGCTTTCAAGATAAGACTTAATTGCAAAGATTAAATAATGATTAATAAATCAGCAAAGTAAACACTTATAAAATAAATACTTATCAAAGATGTGGGAAGTTCTGCCATGAAAATATTCTCCTAAAGGCCAGAAAATGAAATAATCATCCTTTAGTTCTACTGGCAGATTGCAGGATGTCCTGAATTTCCACACTGCAGTGATTTCCCCCTATAAATCTTCTTCATTTAAACTGAATTTACACACACCATTTGTCTGTGTCTTAAAAATAAAGAAAAAAGAAAAAAAAATACACTTTTTGCAGCTGCAGCTGGAGACAAACATCCATTTGTGGGAAATTTCAGGTGTTCTCACCCACGTGGCCACACTCTCAATTTTCACAGGGAAGCAACTTGGAGGATTTTAGGGACAAATTCGGAACCACACACGTGATTAACTTCATTCCCTGAATAACCCCACTGAAGTGAGGAGGAATTACTCAAGGAATGAGCAGGATCAGGCCTTAACTAGGAAAATAAAGAGATTAAAAACCCCTTATTAATTATCCTCCTAAACAAAGAAGGTTTCTAAAGGTTCTCCTGCCCAGCACATGCTGAAAATACAGAAATTCACATAAAATCCCTTCTGAAAAGCAGTTGCTTGAAAAGCTTAATAGCCACATTTTAAAAGTTTCACCTCCTCGACTGTTTTGCATTAAAAAATATATACAATTTCATGGGCTACTGCCTTGCCAAATATTCTTTCACAAACCCGATCTGCTTTTTAATTAGAACAGCAAAAAGCATCTTTAAACTTGGCAGACATGGTTTGCTCCCAGTTCAGGGAGACATTTTTGCCTGGAACCACATGGAACCTCCACGTTCCAACCTCCCTCCCCGTGCTCTGCCACATCCAGCAGGTTTATTTTGAATTGTCCCCTCATCACTTTGGATTTTAGGTTATAAAACACCTAAACATGACCATCGAGACCCTCAGAGTTCCCCATGCATGGAGGGCTCTTCAATGTAAGTTCCTTTTCCAATCCTCTCCCCCAAAAACACATTTAAAATCCAGATAAAATATTCCAAGTCTATTCTCTTAATGGTGTCAGTGAACATTTTGCAGAGGAAACAAAAAAAAAAAAAAGTGAAAAATCAAAATATTTCCACCCAGGCAAAACCTTCCCAAGTCTGTAAAAGTGTCAGGAGAATTTGCTTAAAACAGCTTCTAAAAATGGGAGAGGGAATGAGTCCCAGCCTATTATTCAATAACCATGTTTGTGAGGCATCGGCATAATCTAACCATGCATAAATTAGTATGTGTATTACAACAGTTATTTGCATAATAATAGCAAGTTAATAGATGCTTAAAGAGCACAGACCAACACCACCTTTAAATCAGACATGCCTCCAGGCACTGCGAGCTGTAGAGACCAAGATGCAGAGAACAGTCTTCATAAAACATATGAAAACATAAAAAACCACATTCAAATAATTCATTTTTTGTCCCTGGACACTTGACTTTTTTCCCCCCCCTCTGCCTGGAAAGAATAATTGGAGGAACTGCTGAACAGTTTGTTCCTGTGAATTCTAACATCCATCTCGAGATGAGAATTTCAAGTAATTGCCAGAGCCAGTTCTGGATTTGTTTTGTTCAGAGCTTCGTGGGGTTTTTAAGTGTAAAAAAGTAAAATATTCTGTGGTGATGCAGAGCTGAGCATCCACCCAACCATGGCCACCAGAGATGGAAAGAGCTGTGCCAGCAGCTTCAGGTGGAAACTTAGAAAATACCAATATTTACATCAAATACTAATATTAGGCCCTCTTCAAAGGAAGAATCTGAAGCTCCCTTAAGTATTCCATTCACATTTTATTTTTGAGGGGATTTTAGACCATCGTGCCATTATTCAAAATTGGAATTAAAAATTAAATTATAAGGAAAGGAGCAGATACACCTTCCTGCTTGAAAAAAAAAAATGTTGTAAAGACTGGATTATTTTTTAATCTCCCAACAAAATGAACAAGATTAACATCATCATAATTTTCATTGTCTCCAGGGAAAGAAAACAGAGTTTGGAGAAGAGAATAAGGGGAGGGGGGGGGCAAAAAAAAAAATCAATAGAGACTTCTAAATGACTCCTTGCAGCTCCCACTTTTCAATTTAACAGGACAGATTTATTTGTATGTGGCTCAAATGTTCACAATTGCTCTCTGCACCTTCATACATAGGAATGAATGTCACAGTGGCAAACAGCAGTAATGAACAATCTTACCTGAGGATATGGAAACCTCCCAAGAGCAAGCTGGGAAAGGAAATAATATTTGTCTAGTTATAGAGATTTGCATGGAGGGCACATTTCCTTCAAGTGAGAAAAGTACTCAACTCTCAGGATGGTAGGAATTGGGGAAATGGCAAAAAAAAGGGATTGTGCAGACACAAAGAGCTGTATTTAGAACGGGTCCCTCACAACCAGCACCCCTCATTTTTCTGGGGATTGCCCTTTGATGCCCAAATTTGGGCACATTTTCTTCAGGAGAGAAAAGTTCTCAACTCTCACAATGGTACAAATCAAAATGTCAAAAAAGGGATTGTGCAGACACAAAGAGCTGTATTTAGAATGGGTCCCTCACAACCAGTACCCCTCATTTTTCTGGATATTTCTCTCAGTGCCACTCTTTGATGCCCAAATTCGGGCACATTTTCTTCAGGAGACATAAGTTCTCAACTCTCATAATGGTAGAAACTGAGGAAATGGCAAAAAAGAGATTCTGCAAACACAAAGAGCTGTATTAAGAATGGGTCCCTCAAAACCATCACTCCTCATTTTTCCAGGATTTCTGGGTTTCTCCAGCCCTTTTGATTCCCTCAGTGCCATCATTTGGTTCCCAAAATTAGGCACAATTCCTTTAGAAGAGAAAAGTTCTAAACTCTCACGGTGGTACAAATCAAAATGTCAAAAAAAGGGATTCTGCAAACACAAAAAGCTGTATTTAGAACGGGCCCCTCACAACCAGCACCCCTCAGGATTTCTGGGGATTTCTGGGTTTCTCCAGCCTTTGTCTCCCTTAGTGCCATTATTTGGTTCCCAAATTTGGGTACATTTCCTTCAGGAGAGAAAAGTTCTCAACTCTCATGATGGTACAAATCAAAATGGCAAAAAAGGGATTGTGCAGACACAAAGAGCTGTATTTAGAATGGGTCCCTCAAAACCACCACTCCTCATTTTTCCAGGATTTCTGGATTTCTCCAGCCCTTTTGATTCCCTCAGTGCCATCATTTGGTTCCCAAATTCGGGTATATTTCCTTCAGGAGAGAAAAATTCTCAACTCTCACGGTGGTACAAATCAAAATGTCAAAAAAAAAGGGATTGTGCAAACACAAAAAGCTGTATTTAGAATGTGCCCCTCACAACCAGCACCCCTCATTTTCCCAGGATTTCTGGGTTTCTCCAGCCCTTGTGTGTCCCTCAGTGCCACCGTTGGATGCCCAGGTTCCCCAGGAGTGGAAATGAAACCAGTTCAGCCTCAGCAGGGAGGCCAAGGCTCTGCCTTTGCTGATAATTATCTGTGATGAGCAGGCAGCTCTCAACTCCCAGAGTCCTCCCTTAAGTGGCTCAGGGTAAAATCTGGGTTACTGAGCTGAGCTTGGTGTCCCCATTGGTGCCAAACCTGAGTGGGATGTGGGGAGAGCCCACAGCACCCACAGAGAAACCTCATCTTTCCTCCAGATCCACTTTTCCAGGATATCAACTGCATTTGCTGCCCCTGCTGCTTTGTAAGTAAATTCAGGCATTAGAGAATAGTCCCAAAATCCACATTTTTATGGATGTTGTCTAAAAATATTCTACTGGCCATAACTAATAAACATTCCAAGAGAAATTTGTACCAGGCAGGTTCTCCCACCCGGTGAGAAATCCTGGAAACAACTCCAGCAAAACGCAGCTGCTTGGAGTTATTCTGTCTCCTATTCAGTGAAGGACCAAGGTTGTCAGGGTTAGAACCATGGAATCTTCTGGAAAAGCCCTCTCAGATTGAATCCAACCATCCCCAGCACTTCCAAGGCCACCACTGACCACATCCCCAGGTGCCAGAGGCACAGAGCTGTTAAATCCCTGCAGGAATGACTCCAGCAGCTGTGCCAGTGCTTGATAACCCTTTCCATGAAGGAATTTTCCCTGATATCCACCCCTCAGTTCCTCTGGCACACCCTGAGCTGACCCAGGGCACTCTGAGCAGTTCTATTCTGCCTTTCTGGGTTTGCCACAGAGGAGCCAAGAGCTGCCCTACACCCCAAATAACCTCTGAAAATTCTGTTTGCAGCTCCAGAGGAAGGCCCAGCCCAGAGGTGATGGATGCAGTGGAACCATGGATTTCCCAGGTGGATAAACTCATCCTGTTCCCACCATCCTGAGCAAGAGCAGCAGTGCTGAAGGTCTGAGCCACCGTGTCACCCACGCCAAGGGACAAACCCCACAGCAGGGCTGGGCAAAGGCACTGCCCCCGAGCCCCTGGAGCTGGGGATGCCTGACCTGGCCAGATTGTGATGCCTCAGGTTTGGATTTTATATTTTTCAGATTCTGAGCTGCTTTAGTGTATAGTTTTCAGCTTCATATCAGGGGATGCTGAGCTCTCTGCACAGAGCAGAGACACAAAACAATTCCTGCTCCAGCTGGGCACCAAGGACAGTGATCCAAATCTCAGCCCAGGAGCACAAACACCGTGGGCTGGAGAGAGAAAAACAAGCAGGATGGGACTGCCTGGGCTAAAGCTGGAATGGGACAATGAACTCCAAGGTGCCAATGGAGCAGAACTGATCCCAGGGAGAGCCCCCGGGAGCGCTCGTGCATTTTGGGGCCATTTTGGGTCATCCTGGGGCAGCCCTGGCTGGGCTCTGGTGCTGCCCAAGGTGGATCCATGGAGGAGATCCTTGAATAAATCCCTGCTTTGTTCTGGGACTCTGCCCAACCTGCACAAGGCATCACTTGCAGCTCCCCAGAGGTGAAATTTCAGCCTTTTGGCAGCACAAAACTCTCCTGAGGACAAGGCTGAGGCACAGACAGAGCTGCTGTGAAGTGGCAAAGGAGCAGCAGACATTCCTGAGCCTCAGGAATTTGGGAACCAGGCAGAGATGGGGCCTTTCCTGCAATTCCAGCTGCTCTCCATCCCCAGCAGAGTTCAGCCCTTGGCCTGGGAGCCTCAGCAAATTCCTGCCAGATCCTTGGGGGAGACATCACAAACCCAGAGTGGGGCCCAGAGCATCTGGGTGAGATGGATGAAACAATTTCTTTGGGGGATACTGCTAAATGAAGCTTTCACAATATTGAGACTTCAAAACTCTTGTCCACAGGAGGCCACGGGGCTGCTCCAGGGCTGGAGCCCCTCTGGAGCCAGGCTGAGAGCCCTGGGAATGTTCCTCTGGAGAAGGGAAGGATCCAGGGAGGGCTCAGAGCCCTGGGAATGTTCCCCTGGAGAAGGGAAGGATCCAGGGAGGGCTCAGAGCCCTGGGAATGTTCCCCTGGAGAAGGGAAGGATCCAGGGAGGGCTCAGAGCCCTGGGAATGTTCCCCTGGAGAAGGGAAGGATCCAGGGAATCCTCAGAACCATTCCAGGGCCTGGAGGGGCTCCAGGAGAGCTGGAAAGGGACTGGGGACAAGGGATGGAGGGACAGGAGCCAGGGAATGGCTTCACAGTGGGAAAGGGGAGATTTAGATGGATTCTGGGGAGGAATTCCTCCCTGTGAGGATGGGCAGCCCTGGCACAGGTGCCCAGAGGAGCTGGGGCTGCCCCTGGATCCCTGGAATGTTCAAGGCCAGCTTGGACAGGGCTTGGAGCAGTCTGGGACAGTGGGAGGTGTCCCTGCCCAGATGGTTTTCAAGGTCCCTTTCACCCCACACCATTTTTGAATCCTCTGAACGTTCCCATCTCAGCAAAGTCACTTGGGTCACCCTCATGGTAACTCTGGAAAATGCTGCTCCAGAATTCAACAAAAACCCTTCATTTTCTGTTGTGGGGCTACTGGAACCCATCATTTACCACCTTCTCCTCTTTTGGGAGCAGCACCCTCCTGTCCCACGCAGAAATCTGAGCTCCTGAGCAGCTGTGTGGTGGTGACAGCCTAGAAATAAACCCATCAATAATGCCCAACAGGTTTCCACGACCAGAAGCAGAGCAAATTCTGATTTTTTCACTGAGGAACTGTGAGAAACTCCAGACAGAACAAGCAGGTAAGGACGGCTCTGTGCACAGAGCATCTTTCTGCAGATGTTATTGAAGTAAAACAATCCCTGCCTCGATGATGACTCCAAACAAACCATTTCCATTCCCACTGACCACGCCAGGCCCAGCAGCAGCTGAAAAACTGGGGGGAAAGAGCCAGACACAAGTATAGGGTGAAAAAAAGAGCACTGAAGGACCCCAAAATGCACCAGCAACAAGTTCTCTGAGGTTGGTAAAAGGAAACATTTCTCAGTGAAGCTGAGAGCTGAAACACCCAGGGCCAGCTCCTGTGCCACTTCTGCATCCCCTGCACCACCACTGCACCCATCTGCTCAGATTTCCTGCCCCCAACATTTTCAAGGTATTATAAATTAAGAAACTTAGCAAAGAGTCTGTAATCTTCCCCGAAATAGCCTGCAGATATGTCACTGTACTAAATGTGTTTCAGATTTAATGAAGCTTTAATGTCCTTTTTAATTTTGCCTGTTTCTGTATCACCAGGGGTCGAGCGAGGCAATCAGCACTCGAGAGGGTGGTTTGGTTTAAAACTAGGAAAAACTCATTTGCTTATGAGTTGCACTGTATTTTCTTAATTAAATTTACTAAGTAAAACGGTTTAAGTTCAGCCAACCAGTGACCTCTGGGTGTAGATTTAGATTTATAAGAAGTGTCACAGTCAAAGTAAGGTTAAAAAAAAAAAAAAAAAGCCCAAACAACAAACAGATGAGAAATTCACTAAAAGGATTTTCAAATTATCATTTGTCTCAAGAAGTCACAGGAACACGAGGAACAAGCCCAGTGCAGGAGGGAAAAGCCAAAACCTACCAAATGAACACACTGCCCAAAACTTCTCTGCATTTAAAGGACAAAACTCCAGAACCTGAAACTCTTCTAAGGTATTTTAACAAAAAATACAATATTTCAGTTTAAATTAGTTTGGTTTAGGATCTGATCAGTGTTTTATATCTGGATATTGAGGAGGGAATGCCTGAAATTCAGGTAACTGCTTCCCATTTCCCCATGGACCCCTTCCCAATGGTTGGATTTGATGATCCTGAGCTCTTTTCCAACACAAGAACAGCAAAAAC